ATTGGCGTCAATTAAACTGCAAAATTCGTAGTAGTTTTGAAGTTATAGTCGGATTTAAATTCTCGATATTTTTGACTTTATCAGAAATTTTCTCGATAACTATTCATCGTAGAGCACTGAAATTTTTAATATATAATAGAAAATTTAATTTTATATCCAACGGTACCAAATATAAGAGGTTATCTCTAATAAGTCCGGAGTTATTGCCATTAGACCGCTCGGGGTGCCAAAAATCGACCAAAATCTCGACAAAAATCAAAAAAATTTTTATCTTTAAAATTGATCTATTTTACGTTTTTTACATTTCTAGAGGTCTTAAGGACTCAAATAAATGCATAAAAGGACATTGGGTCAAGTTTCTAAAATTTTGAATTTTTTGAGTTTTTGAAGGTGAGCMGTAGTAAAATCGTAAAAATAGTCAATTTCCTAAAAGTCGTAAAAACGCTTGAAATATGGTTTTCTAGACGTACAATTACGCGCTGAACACGATGCAACTAGTTCAAATACTCTACGATTCATYGTTTTTAAGATATTGAGTAATAAAGTAGTAGTAAATAGAGGCTAGAAGCATAAGCACTTGATTTTAATAAAAAAACTAGTTCTGTATGTAAAATTAACAGTAGAGCATGCCTGTACAAACCGTTTTGACCTAAGACTCATGGTTTTTGAGATATGATTTTTTTTGAAAAAAACTAAAAATGGCTCTGTAGCCGGAAATTATGACAACATCGAAACTAATTGAATACAAAATTTGGCTATTTTGGTTGTTTTTAAAATATAATTTTAGTTTTATTACCACTACAAAATAATTTTGCCTAATTTTGTTCTAGAGGAGGGTTTAACCCCCAAAACCCCCTCGATACACCACTGTAACACCATTCAAAAAAATATTAACTTAATTCATTTATAAACTATGACTTCAATAACACATTCAAAAGAATCTAAAAAAACTAAAGATTCAATAAATTGCAGATAATTAAAATTGTGATTGATTATATTGTCCATATATCAATAATGAGGGTGCTTTTGTTTAATATTTATGTAATAATGCTGAAAACTTGTATGTTATAAAATATGATAAGATAATAAATAAAGTTAAGCTAATTTATTCAGCCTTGTTTTCAAGGCAATCGAAGTGTAAGTATGCACGTTTATAAATTTTAGAATGGATTCGCTAAAGTGCATTCTCCATAGCTTGTATTAAAATATTGACGGTTTTTATTTTAAAGTCGACACTATTTACTTAGAATATAAGTTGTAAAAACTATATTTAGTAAACATGGAAAATCACTCAAGTGGTATCACGTCACTTGGAATATACCATGGTAGCACACTAACACCGGCGCTTCCACGAAAAATAGTCTAGTCAAGTGACAGTTAACGTCGCAATGGGTGCGTGTTTGCAAATAATAACAAAAATGTCAGTTTTTGCAACAATATAAACAATTAAAACCCCTCCCATATACCTCCGCAATAATCTAAAGTGTAATTATATAAACCTAGTGGTTTGTGATTGAAAAAATATGTGAACGTCAATCATGGTGGCAGCTGATTGTTTTGATTATCAATTTGATTGATAATTCGCGCACCAAAATGTTCCTTAATTAAGTGAATACTATGCTTAAATAACGCTTGCCAAACGTTTACAATGCCTAGCTTTAACCTAGGTGTAACCCAGTCAGGTTAAGTTAATGAGGAAACATGTCCACAAGTGCACATTCGATTCACGAAGTGCAAACGACAACTCCCGTTTCTAAAACTTCCAAACAGGAAGAAAGACGCTCGCGAACTCTGCTCAACATCCTCCCGAAACTCCCCTCAAGTGATTCACTCAGCAACAGCCCTGGGCCAGCAAGTCCTGGTAAAAATCTAACCCCATCTTGTCTTTTTACAACTTCAGTTGCTCTTACAGGTGTATCTAACTTCATAGAGAAACCAGACCCYAACACAGATAGGGTAAGTGAAAATTTCAAATTGTTATCCTCTAATTACATTTTTTAGTCACCCGAAACTTGCTCGAAACTTACCAGGAAGGAATCGTATAAAGCACAACGTAAAAACTATCGCAAAGAAAAGAAAAGGGTCACTAATGAGTTACTAAATTCACTCAAAGACCCCTCAGTTGTTGTCTTAGCTGATTGGCTCAAAATCAGAGGGACGTTAAAATCGTGGACTAAACTGTGGTGTGTTCTCAAACCCGGACTGTTACTCCTCTACAAGAGCCCCAAAGCCAAAGTATGACCCTAGGGTCCAAAATTAGGTGACCACTAACATAAGTAAAAAGTCATGTTTTGTAATCAACTTGTTTATTGTTGGACACCTGAGTTTGGACCCCAAGTTCAATGTCAGTCTTAATTCGTAAAAAATTGTAGAGCAGCCATTGGGTGGGTACAATTTTGRTGAATTCGTGCAAAGTGATTGAAAGGCCGAGCAAAAAAGACGGTTTTTGTTTCAAGTTGTATAATCCACTTGACCAGTCAATTTGGGCCCCACGTGGCCCCGAAAATGAAACAATTGGGGCTGTCGTCCAACCGTTACCTAGTTCTTACTTGATTTTTCGCGCCCCATCACAAGCCTCTGGCATGTGTTGGTTGGATGCTTTGGAAATTTCTATAAGAAARGATTCGGCTCTAGTTCGCTCAGTTAGTAATAAGTCAGCTTCAGGKAGCACAAATCATGAAACTCAATGGAATGAAGCTGATTATGAGAAGCATTTTGGTGTGTAATTATGGTTTTGTTAACTTTGGTTAATTGTTGTTTAGATTTAGATGATATAAGTCAGCCGGATAATGGTGCTCAACTTAGTACAGGWGATGGAGAAATGACTGATTCGGATTCAGAAATTTCGGCCAAAGAGGAGGATATTGATGAGGATCCGCCGGAAACACCATATGTTCCTACCAGTGAAGAAGAGTTCGGTGATGTAAGTAGAAGAAATATTGTATGTACAGTCGACCAAAGTGAAAATGACGCCTCAATAAACCAGCCGACCCTTCTAACCACAAGAGGGCAGGGTCGTAAATTATCTCATTGCAAATTTGACGTAGTTTCAACATAAATTCCTTTAGGAGCCGGTTTACAGAAAAATTAAACTAAGTTAAATAAAAAGG